GGCGAGGAGCCCGAGGCCGCTGGCCGGAGCACGAGTTTCCTCGGCGCCCGGCCCCGCGTTCCCCTGGCAGCGTGCCTTCCCCCGCAAACGTGGGAGTGCGGGGCAGAGCTCGGGTGACTTTGAATCTTTTATTGCGGCACGGTGAAGGGACGTGGTAACTGCGGAAATCGGTGGCTACAGCCTCTAAAATGCCTTGTCTGACTGCGGTGAACCCTTGACCGTTGTTGTATGGATGGGAAAACCTCCACGTTTAAGAAATAAATGATTCACTATGACTTTTTTCTTAATATACTCACTGACCCTTTCTGTCACATAGCAATTATTTTATTCTAGTTCCGCTGGAAAGTGAGGGTTTGATAGCCTTGTTCTCTGATCCACCTAAAGATAAAAAGTATCAGGCATTCCTCGTTCCGTGTGAAGTCCTCACATACCTCAACTCCATCGCTGCCAATGATAAAAACATTCTTAATTGACATTCAGCTGCCGCTACTTGGACAGGAGTTGAAAAGTCACTTTTCTCGGAGGTCTGTCTTCGTGATAAACCAGGGACGAGTGAAAGAGGCATTAAAGATTTCTTTTGCTCTAGGGGACGTGTTGTGCTGCTGTTCTGCTTGGCGCTGCTTGCTTGTTGTTTAAGCCACAGAAACTTAAATGCAATTTATTCATCTTTAGTGTTTTCCTGACAGTTCAAGATTTCCAATTCGGGTATGGCCCTGCATCACAAGTGACCCCAAAGGCCATCTTTCAGCTTGTGACGCAGGCCAGAACGAATTGAACTAAGACGAGGAGATGCATTTCACATAGGCAGCAATTTCTCTTCTGCTTAATAAAAAATTATGGTCTGTACCATTATTCTAATTCCGACCCACTTGTGGAAAACATCTGAATTCATGTTCTCTGCATTAGGGAAATTTTTTTTTTTTAGTTTTTCTTTTATTATTCTGGATACCATTTGCAAATAAGTATTTAGTCCAGAACATTCAACCTTTGTTACATGTTTTCAGGATGCTGTCTTTACTATAGTATACAGACATTTTAAATGTTTGTAAAATGTGAAAATTACTATTAAACAAACTCTTAAACAATCTAAGCAGAAAATTTAAATGGGTCTTTTAAAAGAAATCTTTGAAATCTCAAAATTTTGTAGCTAGTGTTTTGCTTTTGTCTTTCTCTCTCTTAAACAGGTTGCATTCAAGTAAAATTTTGCTGGTGTGACTAGAGCTTGTTAACATGAAACTCCCTGGAATCGTCTGCATCCAGGAGCGCTATGGAGCAATTTTCAACATGGAGGAGAAATTGTTACGTGTGTCTGGTAATAGAAGACAGTACTTCACTGACAGAAAACTTGTACCATGTGGGGTAGCGACACCCTGGCGCCAAACCTCTAAAGTGAACGGAAATGCTGGAGCACTGAATGAAAAAAGTATGAGAGCAGTGGTGACAGGAGGCGGAGGCTATTTTGGCTACAAGCTGGGATGCGCTCTTGCCAACGCAGGAGCTTCCGTTGTTCTGTATGACATACACAAGCCTATCTGGGAAATTCCCAAAGGAGTAGTGTGTATCCAGGTATGATAAATTGTATTTTCACAACTGTCAAAGTTGGTTCATTTGCCTTTTCCATAATGTCTTACTAGTTTTCACAGAAGCCAAATACCTAATTGCAAGTTACTGCACATTTCAATAACTGTTTCAACTGTGTGAATATCCCACGCGATTTTTTGTCAACTGATTTTAGTATGTCTGAAATAA